TGGTATGTTTATGTGGGTGGATAGGTGGTTTAGTGCCCTGCCTACAGATGCTTGTGGTAGCCAACTCATGGATACATGTATTCTAATACATGATAGCTTCTTGTGACAATTGCAGGGCATACATTTGGATCCTAGTATTTATTTAATGGATGAAGAAAATAAATCTTCAACCACCACACAAGCAAAAGAAGAAGAGAAAAGCCCGGGAAAAAAGATAAATGGGAGCTCTGTTGAGAATGATCGTCCTCCCCCATGTGCTACTAATCAAGATAGTGAAAGTTCTTGTCCTCAGATTGCTAGCTCAGGGGAAACACTATCTGGTGTGGACTTTGTTTCGTCTGATCTGAAATCTATGGAGTTTGGTGACAGGAAACCTGAATGTAAAGGTGAAAACTCTCATTCTTTATTCTCCATGTTAAATTTTAGATTGGACCATCACTATTATACTTTTGTTGTAGTTATCTATGTCTCATTGGACCATCACTACCTATCATCATAGGTGAAATGGCAAAGGATGCTGCCCCAACTAAACCCCTAATCATAAATAAAGCAAAGTCTGGTCCTGAACCCATTATCATTCCTATAATCCTAAAGATGGCTGAATTCGATCATAAGGTGTGTAAAAAGTTAGCTTTTGCTTGTGATGATGAGAAAAGTGAAAGGCTTATATCTCAATAGCTCAAAAGCCAACTCTTCCTCTCAGGCTTTGTTAGAGGAGTGGTTATCTACTCGTAGCAGTGAAAAGTATCCGATACAGGTATAAGTGCAGGCATAATTAATTATTTTATACCTGTGAACTTCACGAAGATAACTTTCCAGTTTGAATTTTCTTTTATCAATGCTAAATACATATGAAAATTAGTTGTTCTCTTACTGTTGCTTCGAATTAGATTTTTAATTATCATTATGTGAACTTGGTTTTGTTACACCATCATGAATGCTGCTGCTTCATAGCTGAGTTTATAAGGCATTGTGATACGTCAGAATGGAGACTTGTCAATGCTGTAGTATCATACTATAGGATTCAGGACCATAAAACTTGACGAGTTTCATTTACATTACCACTTTTCAAGATTTCTATATGGGGGATGGATATTTCGTTAGGAGGTTGAGTTGTCTATGGTAATATGAGTGGTAACAAGATATTAATTTTTTGAATTTTGAAAGTATAACTGACCTTCTAAAAGAAGAGTCATAAACTTAATAGGATTACATATACATGCCGTTCAAGCGATTATGCCTGCTCTAGCCCTACCATCTACCCCTATCATAATAGAAAGAAAGGGTACTTTTAATTTTTTGAATTTTGAAAGTATAAGACCTTTTAAAAGAAGAGTCATAAACTTAATAGGATTACATTGTATATGTTGAGACTTGAGCATATGGAATACATTATATTTCTTACCTGTCTGTGCTATATGTTTTTGCTCGTGCTGTCTATGTGCCTCAGATAAATCTTTGACAACTGCTGTCTACATTTCCCAGGACAAGGATAAATTAATCAGCAACTTGAAGACAATCCAGGACTATCTCTGTTCATTTAAATCACAGGTATGATATTTGGGGGACCTTTAAGACACAGTCATTCTTACACATTACATCAACTTTAATTCACTATTTATACTCACATAATTTTAATTTTTAACTAACCATCACTTCACACCATCTCTCTCCTACTTTTATATCATATCAATTTTAATTATTTTATTTTAAATATTATTTCAATATAAACTCAAAATCCCACTAACAACTAACCATACCACTTTTTTCAAAATTAACCATACTAAACCAAAAAATCCAAACAAAATCCAAATATCTTTTATATCCAAGCTAGCATTTGAGAACATAGATGCTGATAGAGTTTCTCGAAATCTGAGCAGGGTTATACAGTTGTCAACTTATCAGCTACAGCTTTCCCGCAAACCTTGGATTGGCTGCACAATTATCTTCTTCAGGTAATTGATATTACGTTAGTGAATTATTGCGATTGTTTTCCCCTGTACTCTGTAGGGTCTTGTTCTGAGTTTCGTTTTCGGTTAGGCCTTACATTAAAATGGGAAAGGAAAAAAATATTTTTCTGGTATTAGTATTATGTATTGTGGTTTATCAGGAAAGGAAGAGAACAGCGACTCAGCGAGTTTGAATACCTCTGACATCTTATGTTTTACGAAAAACAAATAGTAACTTCTCATCAGCACAATATTACGAAATGAGTTATGAAACTGAAGCTTTTCCTACATGATAGAGTAAAGCATCCGTTCCAACAGTATCTAATAAAAGCTTGAGTAAATCTATAGTCATTCCACGAGGAAATAGTTAGGAGTTATTGTCAATTACATAGAATAAAGATCACGGATGAATTAAAATCTCATGAAAAGCCAAAAAAAAAAAAAAGGTTCACTGGATCTTTTTATGCTTCATTAAGTTCAAGGTAGGAAGATGTTTGACAAATTTCTTGTTTTCTTATTTCACTTTCCCCCTTATGTTTATTGAAATTAAAAAATTTGCTACTTTCTATCCCAATAAAGAAAATCGGGGAAAAAGAAGCTTCTGAGGACAAATGTGTGTTTTTTATTTATTTTTTTATAAACAGTGCATCGAGCAGGGAACATCATCTGTCTCCCCATCAAGTAGTGATCAGAAATTTAATGTCTCGAAATGACATCATAGCTCAGGTGGATTTTAAGGTATGTTCTCTCACAAAAACCCATGATGTCTTTCCGTGTATACGCATCATGACATGCACAGTATGATTAAACACACAGGATCTGAAGGAGTCTCATGTGTACGACTGGATAAGTTAAATTGCGGTACAACTCTAGGAGAGTCATAAAAGAAATGAACTCAAAGAACGAGTTGTCAAAGTCACGGGACTCTGTTGATGAAGAATAATAAAGTTCTTGTCTGATGGGATTTGGCCTTTGTTGTGAATAAGGGCTGCCGCTAAACTCGACCACCGTATGCAAAAGACTGAATTAGGCCTTAGTGTAATAAGTAGTTACATCTGTCTCAACTAAGTGCATTTGATGTATCTCATCCAAAATGCACTTGTGTTCTATGAATTACAATGTAATTTAAATCATGCCCCTAGTTTTTATTCAAGTGTTGTGCACAACTTCTGAAGCAGTTTTTTTTCCTCATTATCATCATCTGGAAGAGTTCGAGTAGTTCAACTGTGTCACCAGATTGAGTGTTTATTGTTGGTTTGAAAAAGGTTGGCACAATTAATTTTATCATTCATAGGTTACCTCACAACATCATTTTAGATAGCATTTAAAGATGGGATATAGATAGAATAAATATTTAATCATATCAAATTGCTGAATTAGCACACAAGAACAATGGTACATAACTGGTGGCAAGAGTACTTCTTGCTAATTGTTGTCCTAAAATGACTAAATCTCATCATCCCATAATTCTTCAATTGTCCTGTAAGGGCTTGTTCTTTGATTGACATAAAATTCACCCCTCATTATTTTCCACTCATCCATTTTTTCAATTTCAAGAATATCACTGTCCTCCAATTTAAGATCAAGTGAGCCCATGTTCTCCTTAAGCCTCTCCTGATTGAAGCTCTTCACAATAACACTTGATCCTTTTGACAGTCCCCACCCAAGAGCAACCTTCAGGGATAGTTAAAATTAATCTTTGTTAAAAAAATAAATAAGAAAAAAAAAGTAAAATGTAACCATAACAATTAATTACTACAGAAAATACAATTAGCACGTCTAATTGTTGATCAATGATCTTTTACCTGAGCTGGAGTAGCATTGTGCTTGAGGGCAATTGATTGGATGATTGGATTTTCAACCACAGCTGTCGAACCCCAGAAGTTTCCGGGCCCACCTAGAGCTGAGTAAGCGCTTACGTGGATCTGGTGGTCCTTGCAAAAATTCCTTAGCTTTTCTTGCCTCCACATAGGATGCATTTCCACCTGTACCAACCAGAAAAAAGAAAAAAACAAAAAAAAATATATATTCATGCTCAAGTATTTCATGTCAAATCAAATTCAGGATGAATTGTTTGTGGTTTAACACCATTTTACATGATATTCAGCTACCCTCTTATATAGTTGGGCAATTAAATAATGCCTACAAAGTTTTACCATGAAACTTCCACCTAATTCTGTAAATACTTTAGGGTCTAGCAGTTTATACAACATTGATCTTAAATTTCCAGCATTTTAAGAAATATTATAACATTATCACCTCAAAACTTAAAGACAAAAAATGAAATCTTGAGTGGTTGATGCAATTTTCAACAAGCAAAAATTGCAAAATATGTTCGATAACTTCACATGGATGGTATATTTGTCAAGTAATATTTTTTACAATTGTAGAAACTGTACCAACTAATAAAATCGAACACAACATAAAATTGCAATTAATATCCATTAACCAATTGCAAAGAAAAAAAAAAAGTCACGGAATCTTTTACACTCGAATTAGTTATCTACTAATAACTAACAATTAAACTATAGTATTCATTTTCCAAAAAAGTATGACTTAATTCACCTGATTGACAGCAGGAGGGACCATAGCAAATTCTAAGAGACTTGCAATCTTCTTGCAAGAGAAATTGCTAACTCCAATCCCTCTACACAGGCCCATTTCCAGACATCTTTCCATGCCGGCCCAAGTCGTCTCCATCTCCAACTGCTCGAAATCATCCTCTTCCGGCAAAGGCCCACAAGCCCACGGCTTCAATTTTATGGGCCAATGCACCAAATACATGTCCACGTACTCCATCCCCAAGTTCCTGATTATTAATTAAATGTGATTAATTAGTGACTATTAAATAGTAATTATTATGAGATTAATTATAAAATATGTGAGTGGTTCCAAATACATCAGAGTTTGTTGTAACGCTGACACGGGGTCGTGATGATGGCTTCCCCACAATTTTGATGTAATGAAAAGGGACCGTCTTTCGGTTAGACCGTCTGATATTGCCTTCCCTAAAGCATTTCCTAAGGCGGGCTCTGAACCGTATACTTGGGCCGTGTCAAAGTGGGTGTAGCCCATCTGTAAGAGTAAAGCCCATAAATATATATATTTAGCATTTGATAAAGATCATGTTCATGCATCTTATTTTTTTTCGAGAGCTGGAAAATTCGAGCAAAGACAAAGTGAAAGGGAAGTTTAATTTCACGTACCTTAAGGGCCATTTGGACAGCATTTTCAGTAGCTTTCCTTTCATTCTCAGAAGAATAGGTTCCCATGCCAATTATAGGTATGGCCATGCCATTGTTCAATCTCACTTGATTAATGCTTCTCATTTTCTTTTCTCTTTATATTTTTCTCTATAAATAAAAAATAAGTGTGTGTGATGCATGGGAAAAAATTCCATGAATGGGTTTATATAGTGTTGGAGCCCTATGCGAAAGTCAACCTTAAAGCATTTATTATTCATTTTGGGATATATATTTGAAGGGGCCAAATCCACATATGATTTTGAATAAGTTGAGAGGAAGATATATCGAGAGAGTATATATTATTTTAAAGTATCAACAGATTCAAAAATTATGGGGGATTTTCCCTGTCTTAAGTGATACTGCAAATAGTCCTCTCATCTTAAGTGAAGTCAAAATTAAAACAAGATGCCATAATTGGTGATCTCTCCTTTCAGGGCCTTGTTTGTTGCATGAGTCTGAATCATTGGATCCATGCATTGTCTGTCCGAATGCATACTTATATTATAAAATATTACATATTGTTTATATCAATTTTAAAATATGATATTTTAGTGTAAAATATGTAGATTTATTGAAAACAATTATGCTGCTTTACATTAATGAATTATTATGAATGCTCAAATGGCTATTTAAGTTTGTTGTAGGTTTAGCATATTAATGTATTGCAACAATGAATGTGGTAGATCAGTATTTTTATTTTTATTTTTTTGTTTTGTCATTTTCCGGGGGACAACGATCATATTATTAATTATTAATTAATATTTGAAAGTCTTATAAATAATGTCCCTCATGATATTTATTACACGTATGGCTACAAAATATTGTATTGATGTTGTAGAT